GAAGATGGACTTCGTTTCTTTTGTTCAGTATTTCTGGTTTATTTTTATAATTATTTTTTAAGTTTACTTATTTCTTCTGAGAGAATGAGGAGAGAAAACCCCCAACAGGGTCCTATCCCTTGTTCAAGCCAGCCCTGGATTATGGGCACACACATGCCTAGCGTACTCAAGAAGTTCTTCAGATGTGAACCAGGTACCTTGCCATATGGGTCAGCCTTGCAGAGCACAGTGTTTTACTACTGCGTCACTGTCCAGTCCTGGACTAAGTTTCTTAATAATTTGAAAGGTTATGTATTTACTCTAATGTGTATAATAACTGGCTTGCCAAATCTGTGATTTTATATGTATTTGTTTGGAGCTAAGTAAAAAAGTAAATTGATTTAGGGTAGTAAAAAGACTAAGTACAGAACAGTACAGTTGTCGTGAGAATATGGTGAAAACAATGGAAGTGATAAACAGATGAATAATTTGAGAATTACTGCCTTAGTAACAAGTAGGAACCCAGGGCGGACACATGCCAGGATTCCCTGGTTTAGGATTAGCATAAAGTAATGAGGGAGTTTACATTCAGAATCCATGGCTTGTGAATTCTCATCTGGGTCAACTCTAAGTCAGGAGGCAAGTTGGAATCAGATCAAGTGAGGCACTAAAGCCCAGAACACATCAGGCATAAGTAAGAAGGATGCCACGTGCAGAAATCTGGGTGGTATCATAGGAAATACCAAATGTGAACTGAGCAGGAACAGGGTCAGATCCCAAGGTTGTATTCAAGGTCGCAGTCAAACCAGCAGGAACCACCCGGGAGACAGAGCGCTCACTCTAGGAAGGATGTGGGATTGGAATGGACTCATTCTCCTCTAGCCTTAAAGGCACATGGACCTGCTTTCTGACATTGCTCACCCTTACAAGAAATTAAATCTCAATTTATTATCTAAGTGAAAGGTTTCAGGAGAAAGGGTATTTTTTTTTTTTTTGAGAGATTTTTGCTATAGGGTGCTTGCGCTCACCAGAGAGACAGAAAGAGAGAACTCACACCCCAAGGAGATGATCAACCACACGTGTGCCCTTCTCCTCCATTCTCCTCTTGGGATTTTAGGGATGCAAGCACACATGCCTGGCCTGAGTTTTATCCCACTGGGTCCGGGACTACATTGGAGTCCACGCAGACATAACCGCTACACCATCTGCTGGTCCCAGAAAGGGTATTTTCTTACGTGCACATTATAGAAGAGCCAGTGGGGCTCTATCCAATCTCTCACTTTTTCAGTGAAGCAGACTGATGGCAGCATCATTAAAGGAGTTTCTTCCTGAACCTCTAACATTTGAGTTCCTCTTTTCAGGCCCAATGCTAGGGTGGAAGGAGGAGTATTCCTGTTATCTTGGACACAGAATGAATTTTCTCATTGAAAAGGTTTTGATGAATTAGCACAATTGATGCTTTATATATGATCCAGGTTATATATATAGGATTCTGGAAGCTAGACTAGGAACACAATTTATCCATTATATTATCACTTCAGTGGAAAATGTGTTTAATGCTTTAAAATAAAATTTTGAGTTACAATTGTTCCATTGGTGGGCACTGCCTATGCTTAAAAATAAAGCAACTTCCTATTAATGAATGCTTAGTTCTACATATCTTAAATTATCCTTCTTTTAGCATCTTTAAAAAGACATTGGTTTTGGCAGCTCCATGATGTAGTGGTAGTGTGCTGCTTAAGAGAACTGGAACAGCAGTTTTAGCTGGTCCACCTAAAACACACTGGGCATGGATGTGAATTCCCAAGGTCCAATGGGCTGGAGTGGAGGAAGTGTATGACCAGACCTTGTGGAGGGAGCTTTTTTCTTTCTCTCTCTCTCTTACAAAGGCATGTAGGTGCTCTCTCGTGAATTTTTTTTTTTTTAAATCATCATTCATGGCTGATATTCAAGTCTGTATTGTTGAAAAAATAAATAAAAAATAAATGACTTGTATTATCTGATAGCTGGAGGACTCCATGTTTACATCTGAAAGCCATTCTAGACACATAAATGTAATTCCAGTAAGCGTATCTCTAATGGAATTTATTTATTTATTTTTAAAATTTGCTACAGGGCATTCATGCTTGTGAGAAAGAGAGAGAGAGAGAGAGAGAGAGAGAGAGAGGGAGAGGGGGGGAGGGGGGGGGGGGGGGGGAGAGAGAAGAAGAAGAAGAAGAAGAAGAAGAAGAAGAAGAAGAAGAAGAAGAAGAAGAAGAAGAAGAAGAAGAAGAAGAAGAAGAAGAAGAAGAAGAAGAAGAAGAAGAAGAAGAAGAAGAAGAAGAAGAAGAAGAAGAAGAAGAAGAAGAAGAAGAAGAAGAAGAAGAAGAAGAAGGAGGATCCACTGGGGGCTATGGTCATGCACGAACTCTTTTTCATTCTCTTCTTGGGATTTTGGGTATGCACACCTGGCATATTTTTCAAGCGACTGGGTCCAGGACTGGCCATGCAGTCACCCATGTGAGATCCAGCTGCTATTCCTGTGATGAACTGGAATGACTGGCCTAATTCCCAACCTTCTTTATTGACAGTAAATTATTCTTTATGGCTCCTACCATAAGTCTTTAACCCAATGTTTTCCACACTTGTTGAAAGGAAAGAATGACCCAAGGCACCTTTGAAAACAAGATTACTAGCCCTAGCCCAGTAATGAATCAGAACCTTAAGGAAGAGGGTTGGGAGTTACCCTTTTGAAGACTGCTCATGGCTAGTGATATTGTCATACAATTTAGTGGGTCTTACCTTGGAGGGTGTATTAGGAACCATGTGGAGGACTTGTAAAAACACAGGTCGCTAGACCCCAGCCCAAGGGCTTATGATCTAGTAGGTCTGAGGAGTCTGAGGATTTTTTTTTTTGAGAGATTTTTGCTCTAGGGCATATATGCTCACCATAGAGACAGAGAGAGACAGGGGAACAGAAAGTGAGAAATCATCCCCCAGAGGGGATGGCCATGCTGCAATCACTTATCCTCCATTCTCTTTCTGGGATCTTGGGCACACACACACACATGCTGGGTGTGAATTTCACGTCACCAGTTCCGGGACTTGAACCGTGGTCAGCCATGTGGGAGTCAGCAACATAACTGCTATGTCATCTGCTGGCCCTGGAGCCTGAGAATTTGTACTTCCAATAAGGTTCTAGGTGACACTCGTGCTTAATATATACTGAGTGTCTGCACTCTATGACTGAAACTGATTGACTACAGGGTGTACAAACACAAGAGGTAAGTGTGAATGCCAGATGTGGTGTGTGTGGAGGAGTGGGGCCTAAGAAAGGGCATTTGGAGGAGGGACACGGAGGCAGAGCATTGACGGGATGGGGAGGTATGGTGTTATCGGTTGAAGATATTTTGATCAACTGGACTGGGGAGAAATGTTCACATATTGAAATGTTCACTTTGTAAGCTAAACAATGTGATTGAATGTGTGTGTGTGTGTGTGTATATATATAATAAAAAGAAAACCATTTTGGCAAACTCTGTGCCTGAATTTGGTAATTTTTTTCCCGCTCCTCCTTGGTCTTTCAACAATGCTGGATTAGAACTCATAAGACCTCCCTTGAATTCATATTCCTGCTACTTCCTAGCTGCCAGGTGCCAGAAAAATAAATTTACCAGTCCATTTCAGTTTCCTCTTATTGTGAGGATTAGAAGGTAGCGTAAAGGAAGAAGTTTGGCACCGTGCTTGCACATAGTAGGTCTGCTTATTAAACATCTGTGTATTCTTCTCTCCTTACCATGATCCCATTCTACAAGCTAGATGAATCTGCTATTTCTACAAACAGTTCCCCAAGTTATTTACATGCACAAAACTTTAGTTAAAACAAATAAGCAATGACTGACTAGTTCTTTTCCTTGTGAACTATCATGTGGCTACCTTTTCAATATAACATGTTCAATGGGAATATGATCAGCTTCCCAACTCACATTTTCCCACAGAAATAAAAATAGAAAAGAGAGAGAGATTAGATTATAATTGGGCTCTCTGTTTAATTTTGACCAGGTTGAACTTAGTACCCAGGTATGGATTATTTTCCTGGCAAATCTTTATTACATTGTTTGGCTATATCTTGTGACCTGAAAATCAAACAAATGAATCACAGACTCTCAGACTCAGATGGGCCCTGGCCGTCATCTAGCCAACTCACCTTCCCTATGAATGCTGCTCCACTATGTGGTGGTCCAGCCTCTTCTTGGACATACTGTGAGAATGCACTATTTTCATAAATCCCAGTCGACTCTTTAGATAATTGTCTACTTGTTAGGTTTTTGTCCCTCTGAGCAAAATTGTTTACTTCTAGAATTTCTTTGGTCTTATTCTGTCCTCTATAGTGCCTGAATATATCTAATCTCTGCTCTGTATGGTAACATTTAAAGTATTCTGAAATATCACTGATATCCTCCTTGCCAATTCTCTTTTAACTCAAATATTTTTTTTCTCCCCCTTTTTAAGAGGCAGGGTCTTGCTATATTGTCTAGGCTGGCCTTGAACTTGTAATCCCCCTGTCTCAGCCTCCCACGTAGATGGGATTATAGGTATATGCCACTGATTTTTTTTTTTCCCCAATGATTCTCACCACCTAAATTTCTGTTAAAAAAAAATTTCCAAACACTTAATGATCCTGGTCCTCTTCCTGTGGATAAAGTCCATTTGAGGACATTTCTTTACTAAGAAATGAAGCATATTATAGAATGCTTCACAGTCACCATGTTCTATTATCATCAATAAAAACAATGTACATTATAAGAACAATGGAGTTCTCCTTTCCAAAGTTCCTAAGAACCAGGAACTAGTCATACAAACCACACAGTAAGGTCCAAGAAGGTGGATTCTAGATAGGCTTGGGAGCGATAGCCTACAGGAGGTGTACCCGGAAACTGTGACCCTTCCTGACACAGAAATGTCACACTGCCACTTAAATTATTAAAGATCCAAAAATTCTTTCTCAAGGAAAGCAAAGTGAAACAAAATGTATTCCTTACTTTCTACGAAACATTTCTGCAAATATGCAACCAACACTCCAGAGATCCACGGGGGTGGCGTAGCTGGACTGAAGCAAAACTTCTGGAGCTCTGTACCACAGCGTGACAACCTGCAATGGCAAATAGATTTGAGTGTTACAGAGGATGGAGGCTGGGGCTTGAACACCTTACCCGGGTGCTTTTATGACAAGACTCAGTTTAGAAAGAACTCCTATAGATCATATGGGGACACAGTGATAGAAGCAATAATAGACTCACTGCTGATAGGTCAGGAAATTACATCATCCCCACCACCTGGGGTCCCACTTCAGACTCTGTCTTACTAAGGAGGACAAAAAAACCAGGAATTTCAGAAAGCAAAGCAAACGAACTATTAAAACTATTTTTTTTCCTTATGGAACACAATAAAATAATACATGGAAAACAGGATGGCAATGATTTCAGCTCAACTCCTAGGTCAGTATTATTGGGAAGTTCAATAATGATGCTAGTAGGGGCTGCTGGATGATGATCCTGAGTCTACAGAGCACTCAGCACAAGCCAAAACTACCCTCATCAAGACACTGTAGAAAAATCAACATGAAATCCCCTTCCATGCTGCTCATTTAAGGAAACAAGTAAAAACTAGGGAGGAGCTTAAGAGAGTACCTAATTGTTCATAACATGTGTAAAAAACGTCAACAGAGGGAAGCCAGCAGGTGGCATGGTGGTTAAAGGACTAGATTCCCACATGACCAGGACTTTTCAAATCCCAGACTGCTAACTTGAAAATCACACAGAGTATATGTGAGGGCATCTCCAAAATCCTGAGAGGAAAATGGAGAAGGGATTGTGGCATGGCCATCCCCCTGGGGGGATGATTTCTCACTTACCCGACCCCCTCTCTTTCTGACAGGTTTAGAAGCCCTATCCAAAAAACAAAACAAAACAAAACAAAACAAAATAACAAAACAGGGACCAGTGGATGGAATAACGGTTACATCACTGGACTCCCATGTAGTCGACTGTGGTTTGCGTCTCAGACTCAGTGGCTTGAAATCCACACCGAGTGCAAGTGCATACATGCCCTAAATCTGGAGGAGAGTAGACTATGGCATGGCCATTCCCTCAGGGGGTGATTTCTTGTTTTTTTTTTGTCTCTGTCTCTCCGGTGAACACATGCACCCTATAGCAAAAATCTAAAACAATACAGAAACCAAAGTCATCAGAGCAAGGGATCCTCAAAAGAGAAGAACCTCACTTCATGCAGACTTGTTCATACTAATAGATGAAACAAACATCTAGAATTAGTTCTGCCAGGTTGAAAGGTGAGGAAAAACATCGTGCTAAGACTTCTTCTAGGAGAAAACTCCTCTTTCTCCTCCCCATATGTAGAAATTCTACTTATCCTACAAGGGCCAGCTTTGATGCCACCCCTCCACCAAATCCATTGCTCCCTGAAAACTTCCTTTGTAACACAGTTCTTAATATGGTTCATTCCTGAGGGCATGGCTCTGATTTTATATATGGTTATGTCTATAAATGCCCACCACAATACTGTACACATAACAATAAGGGATTAATTTTAAAGTACTCAATCTTGGAAAGATAATTGGTCAAAATTCAATGATTAGTCATTCCCCAAAGAGAAGCCATTATTTTTGCCAAGGAGAGTATTTGATTCTGGGCTTTAATTTTTAGTTACATGATTTATTTCTACCTTATTAATATTTCTATCTAGGGGAACACTTTCTTGTTTCTCTGAAATACTAAACAAAAGTGCAGGTGGAAACTGTCCACAAAGTTCAACTTGAGTGGTTTATAGACATATACAGATATTGTGAAAGTATACATTAATTTACTCACCTCAATTAAAAATAAGGTCTAGCATTGTATGAGATAAAAAGTTTAACTTGAATACAACATTATTTTAAGCCATTCTAGGGAAACTGTGATTTCTGATTTATTATCTATCCTAAAAAAATCTTTAGTAGGGTTATCTTTATTAAAGGGGTATTTTTTTGGACTGATTTACAGAAATGAACAAAATGACACGATTCAGGGTACAGAAAAACAGTTTTAAATTGCAAATTGGAATACTCTTTTTAGAGGATAATCTATAAATTAATAGTGCGTGCACATGTTCCTGACCCAGAGTTTCACTTGCAGAAATTTATCCTACAGAAATACTTATATAATTAATGTTATACAAACAGATATTCATAAGGATGTTTACTCCACCATAACTATTATTATTCCTAATAACTAGGAATATTATTTGGCTGCCAAAAAAAAAAAAAGATAGTTCTTGGAACCAGCAGGAGGCGTGGTGGTTAAGGCACTGGATGCTCCCACATGACTGACCACGGTTCAAGTCCTGGACCTGGTGGCTTGCTTTCTCACCTTCTCTCTCTCTCTGTCTGTGTGTGTCTCTCTGGTAAAATTAAAAAAAAAATGAATGAATAAATAAAGTTAAATAAATCATTTAAAAAATAATAGTTCTCATCCTCTTCATTCCTGTTTAGAAAAGATGTCTATGGGTCAGTTACCCAGTCTGGTGGGTAAGGTAGTCAGTTGGATCCCACATGGCGGACCATGTAATGTGGTATGAGTCCTGCATCTGGCGGTTTGAGATACATGCTGGGCATGTGAACTTGTATGCCCAAATATCTCCAAGGAGAGGAAGACAGAGGAAGAGAATCGCAGTGCGACCATTCCATAAGGGAGCAGTGCTTTCTCCTCTCCCTCTGTCTCTTTGGCACTGGCATGCACCTTCTAGCCAAAAACAAAACAAACCATAAGGTCTATGATATAGTGTGAAGTTATGGAACAGTAGTAAATGTATTCCATTTCTTATTAAAAGGTTATGTCTGGGTGTAAATATTATAATCATAGAAAATCGTCTCTAAGGACACATGGACATTAAGCTTTAAATGAACAACTATCACAAAAACATGGTAGTGTGGGAGGTGAAAGTGTTAGGAAAAGAGGGGCTGGATGATGATTTCAGTGGAGCAAGTTGCTGTCAGTCAGTACTTTTTACAGCTGAGAAAACGGAATTTCAGAGAGGTTAAATGATCTGTCTAGAATGACATAGTTAAGATGTGAAAGAGTGGGTATTCTCATCAAGAATGTCTGACTTTATTTTTATTTTATTTTATTGATTATTATTATTATTTAATTTGACCAGAGAGAGGGACTGTGAGAAAACAAGCTGCCAGGTCTGGGACTCACAGTGTGGTGAGTTATGTGGGAGTCCAGTGCCACAACCACCACACCGCTGGCCCCAAGACTGACTTTGACTGCTCCTTCCTCAACACCCAACTTAGCACCTTTAATTTACCACTCCAAATATCCACAAATGAACAGGTAAAAATACAGGTTGTAATCAAATAGTAGGAAATGATTTTAAATTCACTCTGAAATTTTCAGAATTTACAACTGTCAATTGGGGTTCAATTATTTTTCTAAAAAATGGTTTAAGCAAAAGGTTTTTAGTTCTGAATCAGGGCAGTGCTCCATATGATACACCATCAGTTTATCAATTCCCATCTCATGACTTCAACGTAAGCCAAGATTTAAAAATATCACTTATATCTGTAAGATTTTTGCTTAATCTCTATGTAAATCATTGCAACTAATGAGAAAAAAATACGTTTATGTTTATACTCTCTTTTGAACTATTAACATCTGTCTAAAAAGACCATTTTTGGTTAAAATCTTTGTGGAATGTAACATGCTGGAATTCCAACAAAAGAATGAATTATACAAAACTTACATTTCTAATTAATTTTCTAACAAAATAAATCGACCAATGCCCATAGTCTATATTTAAAAATAACAAATTACTTTTGCAATAGATATTGAAGACTACATTTTCTAATAGTTATTTCCTGATTTATGTAATATTATCCTCTATAATAAACAAGCTTCCCCAGTTTTAATTTGTTAATTTACATGGCTGTTTTATAACCTCTAACCCAGAGTCCTTTAATCGTCACATTATATCACTGTAATTTTAATGATCTCAAATGATGACAATTTCTTCACTTTTGTAGGATATAAAATATCTACAACTAAATCTCTAAGTTTTTGAGAACAAATTGTGACAAGTTTTCCTGACAGTAAAATATAAATTTCCTCTGCTTAGGAATTATTATATTTCTGTGCCTCCAAATACTTCTGACGGAAGACTGCCTAAATGACAGCCTATTTATGTTATATGTAAGCAAAAATGTATTCATTTTCATTTGAAAGCTTTATAAAGAATGAACAATACCAATACGATCGTCTCAAGGTTTTAGTGCATAAAGTAATGAAAGCTGTCAACATAATTGATTTTTACCAAACGCTCTTTTAATTTTATTCTAAGTATTTTTAAAAACAAAGCATAATGGTAAATTTAAAGGTAAAAACATGTTGAGAGAAAACAGTGTGTGCAGTATATAAAGATGGGCATTCAGAAATCTATGACAGAGGTAGCTACTAATGATAACCATGCAGTTGTCTAGTAAGCAAAGATAACAACGGGAACTATGGACAGTTTGGCAGTTGGAGCCAGCTGGAACCAAAGTAAATACCATGTTTATTACCATCATTACATGTATGAACAGCCTCTAGAGGTGCTGAATGCATTTGCCAACAGGAGGGAGAGCGGAAGGAGGGGAGTAGTTCAAGGATATTTACACAAGTGGATGTATCTGTTTAAACTGCTTTGATCTCTATTCACAATTTTCTGAACCAGTTCAATAACAGTGTAAGATAAAGGAGAGTCAAGGCCAACTCTGAATCAAGATACATGTCAGGGTAAACTGCTCTAACTTAATATGCCACTTAGCACATTTATTCATGGACCCTTTCACCAAGACCTTGAAAAAGCCCTTGATGCTGTCTGGTTCATCCTTATTCTATGGCTCCAAGAACAGAAAAGCTGGGTGCAGATGTTGGGCTGAATACCTCTCTAAATGGTCTTTGCCTGGAAGAGACCATATCTGCCATGTGCCTCTAGTTTCTTATAGGGGTCAGCCAAAGGGAAGCCTTGGCAGGTGTACAGAGAGAGAGGCAGAAAAGTGAGGTCAGGTCTTTGACTCCTTAACTTCTCCCTAGCAAAGCTGTCTACAGCTCTGTGTTG